AAAAGAAAACCTTTCACAAGCCCATTTCTCATGAAATAAATTATAAAACGTTTTTGCTCTGTAACGACATAGCAGGTTTAGGGTGAGAAAACCTTTAGAAACTATTATGCTAGAGAGTTAGCGAAAGGGGGCTCGTGCCGACTGTCACGCTGCTCAGAGAGTGGCCTCTTTTCTTCTGGGGCGTGTGCACTAGGCCAGGCGAACGGAGGGGTAGAATAGGGCTAGGATGGATAACGCATTCAAATGTTGGGGAGCAATGCAATGCTTTTATTGGCACAGCGCATCCAATGAACGACTTCATCAGAAATAATTTCCCCTCAGTGCAGGTGATATTCCTAGGCGCCATGCCGTGGTTGAGTGTTCGGCCAAGGGCAGAACTTGGCACCCACGGAGCATTTAGGTTTTCCCAACACCGCTTGGGCAGGTGTCAGACTTTGAGACCAATCGCTAGCTAGTCGCGTGATTCCTTGCGATTCGAACATTTCCAGCGCATCTCCGGAATCGCAGACCCATCGCTGGAATCGCTGGTGGGCGCTATCGCAAGATACGGGGGCATTATGATGGCTGTGCATTTAAGACCGCGTAAAACAAGTCTTTTTTGTTATAAACGGGACTGAGCCTTAGACGGGGTGGGGGAGGTTCCAGGGTGCATGGGCCATTTCTATTTTCCCAGAAGTTCCTGTCCACTCCTAGGCTCAGACTTAATGGAGGCTCCCGTATACTTCCATAGCGCTTCTTTCGCACCTTACGGCTCGACAACGGTTAGCCCTCGTCCAGTGTGACCTGATTAGTTATAGTACTGAGCACTTGCTCAAATTTCCTGCAACCATTCGGCCCATGCAAGCCTCTGAGAAGGAGAAACAGCAGGAAATGCACAGCTGCACAGCTGTTATTGGGCATTCGATAGTCGTACATTACTTCCATCGTTTTGCTTCCAATTGCGGCTAACAACTCTGTTTTGCGGTGAAAATCGACCAGTACTTCTTTGCATGGATATCATGGGTGGGCAGGGACCCGAATGTGGCGATAGCCATAGCGGCACCCGTATTTACCGTGCCATTTTGCCAATGGACCTTTCTGGGAGGAAGTCTTTGAAAAAAGGAAACTGCCATACATACCATTGCACAATGAGAACCAGAAGGGATTTCTAGAAATCCTGTTTCGATGAATAAGGAATAGTTTTGATCTACTGATTCCCCTCGTTGAGCCACGACTCATTTTGCTGAATTTACTTTTCATTTTTCGTGTCCCAAACCAGTCCGTGTTCATTGCTGGGTCAGGACAAACAAAGGATTCGTCGCCATCAATGAAATTATCGGAGGTTAAAGGACTATTGAGTGAAAAAGTATGAAAAAATGCTACAATACACGCACAAGGGCGGTCGTCAATGGCATGAGAGACTCCCTTTCTTTTTTGGAATTTTCAAAATCATCTCCATCTGGATTATCAGCTGACTTTCGCAATGGCTTTGCAGTAGCCAACCGATGTTTTTATGAAGACTCTTAATCTTGAGGCTCAAAATCTGGTGGCCTTCATGAACGGCGAACCCGGATAATAATGTTGTTGATTCTCGGATACGAACTCGTATCCGGACCATTTGTGTGACACGTCAACCTCGCAATACCCTAATCTTACAACGAGGGACCTTTTAGGATCCTAGTCCAGCAACATAGACCTGACCTAAGTATATGTAGACACGAACTAAATTTGTAGAATTCTTTCACCTTACCGCCCCACCTATCCACCATGAAAAAAAGACGTTTTGAATCAAAAAATCTCTAAAACAGCTCCGACCTGGAAAATTAGTCAGAACGCTGTTTACACACAAGCAGCGGAGCATGTTAGCTGAGGGTTGTACACATCATCTTGTCGGCAAGGGTTCGTGGGTTTGTCCAAATCATCTCACCTTGCTGAATGACTTTCTACAGAGAACAGAGACGAAAAATCAGTTGACCATAGGCAGACTCGAGCCAGAAAACTAACTCACGTTTTTGCATTGACCGATTCCACTGCGCTACTTGTCTTCTTTTCTCTGGTTGTGCTTAATTTATGGAGTTATCAATGATATTCAAAGTGTTTCAGGTGCCGTAGCAGAACGAGCTAAGTTGAAGTCGTACATCTTATTGGGCTGTTTGGTTATTCTGATACAAGTGAGTCAGCCCAATTTATGTGCTAAATTTTGTGTTGAAGGCAAAATCCTGAATGAGTGTATGTTATTGCGCCCGAAAATGCGGTCGCGGTAATCGGTCCATTAGTAACAAAAAATGACAGTAAAATTGCTTAGAACCATTAAACTACCTCGTGCGGGGGCAGACTTTGCGATTCCAGTCTTATTCTGAGGGTTTCTAGCCTAGTCTTTTTCTGCATTTTTTCAGTACTACATTTGAACAATTGCCACAAATTTTTTCGTTGCTGGACGCGGCAATCCTGAATAAATATGCCTTCGAGGAATTCTCATTTGATTTCGTTACTTCAGGCACTTCCTGCACATTGGGTATGGGACAGCCAAGGATTCTTCTACAAGATGGGTGTGGTGGATTTCGCTGGCTGCTCAGCTGTAAGACATTTTTCAAAACATTTTTTTCTTTTATTTTCTGTTGGCCTCAAATTCTGTGCGGGCGGAAGTGGTGTAGTGACAAGTGGCGCGCTCTTACCACGCGAGCGGTCCGGGATCAAATCCTGGGTCGTGAGTCGCCCGGGCCAACCAAGCCTTCCATCCCTCCGGGGTCGGTTAATTGGTACCAGACTTGTCTGGGAGGATAAAAACACTGACTTGAACATCGGCTGGCCCCCGCAAGTCATTGTATAGGCCACATCGCATTCAAACGCCACTACGAATGTACAAATGGAAGTAGAATGCGCCGCATCCCAAAAAGGGATTGATCAACGGCAAATGCTTTATTTTTTTTTTCTCTCATAATTCTGTGGCGGGAATGTCTGGCTACTCGCAGTCCTCATTTACATGCCACTACACACCTTCTTCTTTTGACCACAGAGCAATACTTCATCTCCTTGTACGTTTTTGGAGAAGAAAAATATTTAGATAAAAATCTAAATATTTAGAAAGGGATTCAGGAACTTATTTGTTCTGAAGATTCCGCCCTCATGCAAACTTGAAATTGGCATAAGTGCGTCTCGCTCGTCTTCATACTCTCTTGTCCACTCGTTGCCTGTACCCTCCTTCCGGCACAGTCTTCTTATTCGCCACCTTTCAATAGTCAAAATGAAATGCCAAACAAGGGCCTCATCTAGCATGGCTTCATCAGTTTCGTTCGCCTTTCCCCAAGTGCTGGATCCAATAATCTTATATCGTACAATCCCCATTGAATGGGCCTGAAATAAGTGATTGGACATTTTGTTTGCTTTATGTTTATTGCCTAAAAGAATTCAAAAACCCCGATTTGAAATTTCATGGCATACCGAGTCTGAGCGAAAGTGCTCAAACACCCTTTGATTCAGTATAGAAAGTTAAGGCATGGCCTATTCAAAGACTCAATCATCTCATTGGAATTCTTCCTCCTTAAACCTTACGTAGATTTTAAAGTACATATGAGTCGGTTTGAATTATTGGCCTAAATATCGGCGACCGTATTATCTGAAACCTCGACGAATCGTTCAACTGAGGACCAGTGCTGCCACAGATGAGCTCACCAACTAATGCCCTACTTGGTGAGCCTTCATATCTGATTGATCTTTTAATCATTGAATGCTATTTATTTCTTTTTTATTTATTTATTCATTTATTTCTCTATTTATTTATTTATTTGTTTACTATTTGTATCCATCTGTTGATTTATTTGATGTAAAACTATTCCTTCAACAGCGACATGCCAGTTGACAGCACATTTTCGTAAAATTTTCATTCTAGAACATTTCCTTCTCTGGTGGGGGTTATGGCTTTGCATCAACCCGGCTCTGCGTGTGGTATCACCAGCGGTCGGTGGAGGCTAGGAGCCAGGTGAGTGGGATATTTTTGACTCGATATTTGTTGAACTGACTCATTTTCACTTTTTGTACGCCTCGTCGGGGATTTTGCAGTAAATTTGATCACTTTTGATTTTCGCTGAAATTTCAAATGTCCCATTTGGGAATTTATTTCATTAGTTTCCAAAGCTGATTGTTGCCGAATTTTTCAATGTAATTCTGAAGTAGACATATTTCGCTTTCTTCACATTGACTGCCGGCACCTTTTGGTCCAGTCTGATAGGTTGAAATTTCTTTTGAAAAGGGCATATTTGCCCCCCCCCCCGTGATGATTTGAAAAATGGCTTTGTTCAAAATAAATGTCACAGACGTTTTCAATAAAACTTGTTTCAGAGCAGCTGTGGCTACCATAATGAGTTCAATCGGTGGAGGAGCAACGTCGATCGTCATTAAGTTTTGCCAAGACGAAAAAACTACAAGTGAATTTTTTGATAAACGGGATTCTGTCTTCCATCGTCTCCATCACTGGTTAGTTTCAGCTTTATTCACAGCTTTATTTTCGCTATATTCCAAGCTTCTTTGAAAATAACAGGGCAGTCTTTTCTTCCCGTACGCTTTAATAAAATAATATAGTATTCAGATGCGTAGCGGAATGGGATGGATGGTGGACGAGTTGTAGTGGGGGGAAGGGGGCGGTTGGGGGTGTGATATATTACATAAAATGTGAAAAAATAACAACAAAAATGTGCTGTTCGGGGGTTGTGGGCGGAGTTTGCGCGGTGGGCGGAGTCTGAATATGGCTAATACGGGGGGTCCGTGAGCCAGGGGGTGTGATAATCCGTCTTGTCTAAGCAATTAGCCCAATGATTCAATGCGTGAACCACTGCTGATTTGCTGGCTGATCCTGGACACAGAAGCATAAAAAGGGGGAGAAATTAGATCAAGGTGATGGTTTTGTTGACAGCGGATTAGCTCCATTTACCCTGTAGACACGCCTGCCGCTGTGCATCCGCCCGCGTCTCGGCGTGTGAAACACCGCATGAGGCCTTGTAGATGTAATGTTTTATATAAGGTTCTCGCTGCTCTGATGTTGGCCTAAATGAGTAAAAAGTAATAAGAGTTAGTGTATCAGGCGTAGCAATCAGTTAATCAGCGAACATTTGAATGTTTCAAAATTGAAATTGATTACTAGCAAAAGAATTTCAGCGCTGTGTGCGGTGTCAAGGCCCTGGCACGCACTCATCATTGGTGGCGTGTCGGCAGCGTTTTCCATCTCAGTTCTTCCGCTTTTGGAGCGGCTAAAGGTGGACGATCCGGTTGGCATCGTGCCAATCCATCTCACTTCCTCCATTTGGGGAATGGCTGCCGTAGGGATCTTCTGTGAACGAGATCGACATTTGGTGAGTGGATTTTTACAAGAAAACATTCCCATTTTTGGACTGAAAAATGGAGAATACATACATAAAAACCGCTCTCGGTGACGCTCATTCGATCGGCTCTTTAGAAGATACACTATTTATATGTTTATCTATTTATTTACTCTAATTACTAATATTCACTAGTTTTGTAATCTCCTGAATTTCCAGTCTGGCGCCACCAATGGGCTCGCAGGACTGCTTTATTCGGGTGATTTCACGCTACTCGGTGTTCAGCTTCTTTGTACTTTAACAGTTTTAGTCTACAGTGCCACATTTGGTCTACTGGCCCTTGTTGTAAGTTTTTTTTATGAATTTCCACTGCCCATTCTTCCGTGCACTACTCATGCATATTGATTGACTACGAACGTTTCAGCTAATCAGTAAGAGCCCGCTTGGATTGCGTGTCACTGACTATGAAGAACAGATCGGTGCCGACGTTATCGAACATGGATTGGCTGGAACGAATGTGGCCAGATATGTGCTTGAAAAGCCGCTCAGCACAAGGTCAGCTTTGAAATGTGGAACCAATTTCAGCGTTCACGAAGCTCCACCTCTTTTGTTAGTGACAGTACATGTAGTACCGCCCCTTTTATTTGCGCTAACCTTAAAGGCACCGTGCACAAAAATCACGGAACTCCATATTCACCAAAAAATCAGTACTTTGAGCCCGCTTCTTCACAAAGACAATGGGAAGAAAGAAGAATCAGCGTTCATTTTGATACAAAAAAAAAGTTAAAATAATCAAGTGGATCATAAGAGATTTGGATTCCCATCGTAGAACTGACACAAATGTTGGAGGTGGGGAGCTTACTCGTATGAACGTGTTAGGTGTGTGGACGTTAACGAGTTTTCTAGACAGTAGACATCCCAAAATCCATGCGATTGCACCCGCCACAACTCCGTTTGATCAGCCCTTAGGCTCCACCCCTTCTACCTTGGAAGGGGGCGGGCAACCACTGCCCACGAAATGAGTTTTCAGCTGTTTCTCTTCGAAATATTGCGTTGTTTTCGCCAATATTTTTTGCATGTTCTTTCATGACCATGCGCAATGCAATTACACAGAGGGAGTGGCACCCGTTTTTTCCCGTGCACGATCCCTTTAGGTTCACTAAATTTCGCGCCCCATTTCTTATGAAATTCATCTCGTTTTGGATTATTGTCCAATGAATACGCTGTATTACTCCTTTCTATATCAAGAACGCTACTTTCAGAACATTCCAAACGGTGACGAAGGCGATTACAAAGTGGAAAATGCTGGCTAAAACGAAAAGCCGTTCGAAAC